GCAGTAGAGGTAGGGCGAATGGGAATTGAACTGGATGTGCTATTGCTGATCTCCGGTGTGTCAATGTCCGCTTCCTCCTCTTCCTCAGGGAGTTCATCCGCCCTCAGAAGAACGTCAGCAAATATCGCATTGCATCTATCCCACTTCACTTCGTTCGCTTTCGAAGTCTCCACCTCGAGCTTGTTCCGCAGAATATTTTCCTGGAACCATTGTTCCATTTGATCTCGACCCTTGGAAATATCGTCGGTTCTTCTTTGCCTGGCACGCCTCCTATCTCCGCTATCAAGGATACTGTCTAGAAGACTGGGGATCTGTAAATACTTGGAGATTCTGTCAACCCCTGCAAAAGTCTCGGACTCCGTGAAGCCTGTCCCAGGTCCACTTCTCAAGTCCCGAGGGGCTTCTCCAAAGTACATGTATTTGATAGCCGCTCCAAATGCCTCCGGGGGAATGGTGCTGGGGAACTCCCACGTTGCGGATTCTGGTGCCACGGCTAGTTTACCATAGAAATATGGAGAGCGTGCCGCGAGGATGAATTTGTGGAGGTGAAGCGATTCATCGGATGCAGTCACAACAATATCTGTTGTTAATGGAGTCTCACGGGTGAGAAGCGAAGTTATATGCGCGGCTAGTGGCTGGAGGGGGTCCGTGGACTTGGAATAATCATATTCCAGGAGGAGGTTTCGTATCCGGTCGTTTAGGGCATTATAGAGACATCTATAGAACCACCATCGTTAATTCTAGCCACTCTATAGAGAACCAATTGCTGTTTACCTCTCACCCTGAAACGTGTCCCGCTCACAAAGTGCACCAGACTCGAGAAGAAGTTGCACAACTTCGTAATGACCACAGAGACTCGCCTACCGGGTTCATTGGTTAGTATGTGGTACGCGGGATTGGTACGGTCGGTTTGCCAATATATTGACTCACCAAGATCAATGGTGTGTAATCATAGGGGTCACGAGCATTAACATTGACACCCTCGGTGATTTTCTCCTGGCAGACTTTCAAATCGCCCTGGCGACATGCGCTGCATAGTTCACGGAATGGCTCACTGAGATCTAAAGGGTTATCATCCTTAATAGTGCCCTCCTTAATCAACTTCTTCTCATTGACTAAGCTAATCTCTAGCTGGTCCTTCCGCAGCACAGTGTGCTCATCCATCATGCAGGCTTCCAGGAACAACAAGTCGAAGTGGGATGAGGGCAAACGGCAATGGCGGGGCGGAAATGGGCTTATCGATAAGTAACACGTGACTATGTACCTGTGAACTCTCAAATTTAAGAGGGCGTTCTAATTGTATGGATATTTGGGGGAATTAATAGACTGATATCAAGATACCTAATGGTTGAAGTATCGATATATATATTTCAAGTATACGTACATATGTAGGTAGTAAGAAACTATCGAAATTGAACAAACGTCATTCAGGGTTTTGCCTCCTTACGACCGTTTGATCGACCTTCCCCACCGCCTGCTGGCTCGGGGAAAGCGCCATAACCACCGGTTGCATAGCAACGATCCCCCAAACACCCATCTTCAAAGCTCCAATTCATATTGCCTTGACTCTTCCTCAAATCTTCAAATCTGCAGTTCGACTCTTTTTTTTACTAACACAGGACCTTGTATTTACACCGTTCATGCATCATTGACTCTCATTCTTCTGTTTCGTCTTCAACTTATTGTCCTAAACTCTACAGCAATCTATAGTCATGGCGATTGCTTTGGCTGAGGCCGATAAGTATGAGATTTTGGACAAAATTGGTAAATTCTGCCTTCTTGCGATTCAATTTATATTTTATATGTTCAAAACTAATCTTACATGTCCATTCAGGTTGCGGTTCCTTCGGGATCATCCGCAAAGTCAAGCGGAAGTCGGATGGATTCGTAAGTGCAGCGCAATTTTTGGTATCTTGCAGCCAGAACTGACCTCAACTTGCCCCTATAGATCCTATGTCGCAAGGAAATCAACTACATCAAAATGTCACAGAAAGAACGCGAACAACTCACTGCCGAGTTCAACATTTTGAGTTCCCTTCGTCACCCAAACATCGTCGCATACTACCACCGGGAACATCTCAAGGCCAGTCAGGACTTGTACCTCTACATGGAGTACTGCGGTGGCGGAGATCTAGGCATGGTCATTAAGAACTTGAAGAAAGCCAACAAATACGCCGAAGAGGAGTTTGTCTGGCGCATACTCTCCCAGCTTGTCACTGCTTTGTTCCGGTGTCACTACGGGTCCGATCCCGCCGAGGTTGGATCAAACATTCTGGGCCCAGCTCCCAAGCCATCGGGTCTCAAGGGAAAACAGGGCCAAGTCACTATATTGCATCGCGACCTAAAGCCAGAGAACATCTTCCTCGGTAGCGACAACACCGTCAAGCTAGGCGACTTTGGCTTGTCCAAGCAAATGCAGTCTCATGACTTTGCATCAACTTATGTTGGTACACCTTTCTACATGTCACCGGAAATCTGTGCGGCTGAAAAATACACCCTGCGCTCCGACATCTGGGCTGTGGGCTGCATCATGTACGAGCTCTGCCAGAAAGAGCCCCCTTTCAACGCTCGCACCCACATTCAACTAGTACAAAAAATTCGCGAGGGAAAGTTCGCCCCCTTGCCTGATTACTATTCACCGGAGCTCAAGAACGTCATCGGAAGCTGTCTGCGGGTCAATCCCGATCACCGCCCTGATACTTCCGCTCTAATTAATCTTCCTATCATCCGCTTGATGCGCAAGGAGAAAGAGGTTGTTGACCTCGGAAAGACCCTGCGCCGACGTGAGGAGGTTGCTGTCCATAAAGTCCGCGAAATGGAACAGAACCTCGCCAAGAGAGAATCAGAAAAGCAACATATTAAGGCCGAAATTGAAAATACAGTTCGACGAGAGTGGGAGGTCAAAGCACGCTTGGAAATTGATCGCCAGGTGCAAAGTGAACTTGATCGACTCCGCAAGCGATTTGAGTCCGAAGTACAAGAGAGGGTTGCCATTGAGGTGAAGAAGTACAAGCACAACACTTCCAATAGCAATACCTCCCGGGATGATGTATTCTGCACGAGTACCCACGGATCTGGGTCCTCTCGATCCAGCAATCAAGGTTGGCGGTCTTCTCGGTCCTCTGCAAACATGACAGACGACAGCGACACTACTCCCTCATCAAGTGCCGACATCAGCCAGCTGTCGCTTGGCTCTCCTCCATCAAATACCCGAAAGCAGCCCAAGAAGGAGACGCGAACACCCTTTTGTCGGTCCAAGACCGTTGTTGATTCACCGGTGGATGTTCAAATGGCTGAACCGTCACCTATTTCAATTGCTTCGCTTTCCCTGTCCCCTCGCCGTACCTCCGGCCAAGGAGGCGCTCGCAACATCTTTGCAGAGGCTGAGCGGAACAAAGCTAAGTGGGAGCCCACCCTGGCCTACTCCGACGATGAGGATGACACCCCCGACTTGCCCTCACCAACTCGGCCCAAGGTGAAGCCCGACCCATTGAAGGCGCCTCGACGACCTCTACTTCGCCAGAACACCGCGGCTCTCATGCAGAAACTCAGCACCCAGCCTTCTCTGTTCCCTTCCAGCGGTACCCGCCTTCCTCAGTCGACGAGTGCATCTGCTTCCCAGTCTGAAGAGCGCAGTGCAAGTGAGAGCAGAGCCAGATCTCCCCATCGCCGTCTAACTAAAATTCCATCATCTGCCAATCTCGCTGCCGATGCGGGCACATCGCCAACTCGCAAGGGTGCCTCGAAGCAGCAACCTCCTGTCAAGAATGGGGCTGGCGGCGAGGAGATGTTCAAGGCTGTCATGCAACGCAACATGGGTGGCCGCACCCTGGTCGAACTCGCACAGGCGAGAGCTGGAGGCCGTCCGATGGATGAAGTCAAGCGTTGTGCCAGTGACTCGCGCGCTGGCGGTCCCACCATGAGCGTGAAATGCACTGAACGTGATGCTCCCGCTATCTGGAACCCTGAACTGGATGAGATGCCTAGTCCCTTCCTCGCCCGTGGCAAGAAGGTTATTCGCAACCTGCGGTAGTCTCTTACTCAGATCAAATTTCCTTTGCATTTACTTTGTTTTTTGGTTTGATTCTGGTTTCGGTTTTCTTATGGCGCCTTGGTGTGATTAGAGTTTGTTTTGGACTGGAAGTTCCTGTTTTTCCTGGATTTGGATTTGGATGATTTGGTTTCTTTGGAAACCCTCAGTTCCCCTTGTTGCCCACTGTTTTCGGGTTTCGCACTTTCACTTCTTGCGCATACTTTCCCACTATGTCACGGAGTTGGCCCTAATGTTTTCGGAGCATCCTTGCCACATGCAAGGCACGGAGTTTGATACACACGTCCATGGCTCTTTGCCTTTGTTGGCTACGCACTTGCCTCACCGACTCGACTCTTTACTATTTTTCTTTTGTTGCTTATGCCGTCACGCCCCTTTCCTTCAAAAAAGGAGATGATCCAAGTTCTCTTGTACATTTATTTGCATTAGCCATGCATTGACTGTTGAATTTTTGTATTTTGCTTCTGTCTCTGAACGTCCAATTTATTACTCGTATCCTCATCCGTTACAAATATGTTGCTTTGTTGTTATATTGGACTGATATTTGCAGTGCCTCAATCTCGGGAGTCCTTAGTCCTACTTCACGTTTGGATAATCTTTCTCCTCGGACAGGTGTGCCCATTACACTTTGATGTTTCAGTTTTACGTGTTCGGGGTTCTGGTGCTGGAATACTTCCATTTTGGATGTACATACCCATTTCATAAGCAAAATACGCCCCGAGTCGTGCATTCCAAACTTTTAGTTGGCTTGTAAACATTATGCTAACTTTCTAGAGGTGTGAGTCGAGCCATCTCCCAAGTATTAGCCCTAAGATACATGACCAATCCACTTCACCACTTTTCCAGACTACCGGATAGATGGAATACAGAAGGATGCACGCCTGATTGAAATTTGCAGCATGATATGTGCATCACGTTCGACGAAATATTTTATTCAAAAGGTCAGATGTTAAGCCCACGCCTCCTCGTCTTCGACCTCTTCTATCTGAACGGACTTACTTTCCTGGTTAAGACGCCGCTCCTCTTCTTCTAACGTCAACATCCAATCCTCCTGCGGCGAATCGCCAGCCTGTACTTCCGGAGCGGGGCCAGCATTATACCCAGCTTTCTCAAGCTTGTCCATCTCTTCTGGTTCCAACAATTTCCCCTGTCCCTTGATTGACTGCTGTTTCATCCTGACGGCAGCCGGAACAAACTTCTTGGTGGCCTCTTGTCGCAGGTCCCGAATCTGAGGCTTCGCCTCATAAACAGTTCTGGCCGCTGGAACATCCGTCGGACGAGATGGCAGCGGGTGAGGACCTCTGCGCTCAACGTTTTGTTCTGAAGGCACATTTTGATCCCGTCTGCGCTGGTGCTGGCGCGGGATTGGTGGTGGTGTATCCCGCGGCATGGGTATCCTTCGCACGTCCTCATCCGTATCGCTGCTGTCACTATCATGAGGCATTCGGGTTTCATCTGAGCCTCGCCTTCGCTTCCCAAGCACGCCATCACCACCACCCCGTCTAGCTCCACCACCCCGTCTAGCTCCATCACCCTGGCGGCCTCCTCTGCCGCCGTGATCAAACCGGGGTGCCCTGTCGCCAAGAGCTTCACGCGCCTTCAAAACGGCCCGCAAATCCTTCTCTAGCGCTTCGAGGAGCTCCTTATCGCGCGGCCGCAGTTGTTGTCCTGATTCCTCGGCTTCTTTGAAGCTGTTGATCTGGCGCTGGATTCGATCTGGGTTGCGGCGCGCAAGTTTCTCGTTTCGGCGCGCTAGTGCCTCTGACTTGCCTTTCTTCAACTCTTTTTGTTTATCCTGTTTCCGCTGCGCTACGGCGGGGTTGACCGAGCGCTCTTTGTCTTTGGCCATGATGTCGTGTTGGTATTGGGATTGGTGTGCGGGTGGTTTGTAATTATCGGTATGGCACAAGCTAGCTGCGCAAGCCGGAAATAAATCCCACGGGCTCTTGTCGAATCAAGAGATCGCAGGTTAGGTACCGGCACAAATGTCTGGGCTCTGTGTGGGTGTCGCACGTGAAGGGTATAGTTGGAAACAAGAATGTACGGCGCAGACTGGAAAGGAAAGCACGCAATGAAGATAGCTGGTCGGTCTGTCTTGCCGAATAACAAGTGATCAAGTGCGCTAGGTCGCCTCGACTGGATCGATCGCGTCGGGCCGTCAGGTCGAGACTGCAGGCGTCCGGGATTGGGATTGGGTAACGCTCACAGGCCAAACGTGACCAAGTCTGTCAACAAGCGGTATGGAAGTAGAATTGCCGATTTCAGCCTCATCTAGACAACTAAGGTTGAGTGTGATAGTCGTGGCTGAGCAAAGAAGTTGAGTTGAGCTTCAAGCTGGGATTCGGTGAAGTACAGTGTGATGCAGCAATCACGGAAGAGTTCCATGGCTAGGTCCTGGATATTTTTGCCTGGCAGAAAACCACTTAACTAGTTACACACAGTCAAAGCGGAGAAAGAAGCGGTATGCCTTGGGCCCAATCAAAGTTAAGTCTTGCCTGGTCGCTGCTGTTGGCCGTAGAAAGAGTGGAGAGAGACCTAACCATGGTTCGGAATTGGAACTACAACTACATACATCGTCCATTGTACATCTATATATTGATTTATATTTTTCCCAGAGTGTTAATATAGGTCATGTTAGCATTGTACATATATGCGTATTATCGACTATTGCTCTCGATTATTTTATTTCTCTGGTAGACATGCTGCAGAGCCTCTTGATTCTTCCTCATTGAGATAGGTGCAGAGCCTAGCATTTAGCCCAACCGTCGCAATATCCGATATAAAAAGCATCAAAGAAGTATTTAAAGGATGAAACAAAAGAAAGACCCACTAAAATATCAAAACAAGAAATACATCATACACTGAATATTGCTTTTTCTTGATTTTCGTTCTATCTTCAAGCCCCTCTTTATGCGGAGGTCCGAGGTGTCATATTGCCGCCTGAGCCTGTGCTCCAGAACGTATAAAATCTGGTCTGCCACTAGCCTCTTTGTCGAGGAGTGTAACTGGCTTCCCTCGAGCCGCGCGCTGTTTAGTTGCCGCCAAACTCCCAGCGGCTCAGACCTTCTTTCTCCGCCTCTTTTTTTTCCTTTTTGATTTCTCCTCATGAGGGAAAAAAGAAGCTTCCCTCCCCTCCTTAACCGTCAATAGTCGCATTCCCCGATCTGACAGCAGTATATCGCAAAATCTCCTCTCTACACCTTCCATCCTCCATCATGACCTGTGGTCCGTTTGGTCTCACATCGAGTTTGATCGGCGCCTCGTAGACTGTCGCGGTCGGAGCATGTCTCTGCCGGGACCAAATGTCCGTCTCAGCCTCGATTCCCGACACTTCGCTTGGCCTCACCTCCTCCGAGATCCAGATCCTCCGACAGCAGCAGCAGATTGCCTTGCAGGGCGGCCATTCCGGCAATGGGGTGACCAGGGGCAGAGGCACGGGGAGAACCAGCAATTCCAGTTCTCGCGCAACCAGCGCTGCCAGCAGTCAGGGGCGTTTGCTGCTGGACCCTATGAGCCTCCGCGCACTATCGCACCAGCTGGACGGGTTGCAGGCTCAGATCAGTCACCGGATCGAATATGTATGTTCCCCCTGCGGTTCTTGATCGCATATCTATACCATCGGGAAATCACATTTCGTTGTTTTAACATGAGGCGTCCTTGCTAGCTCGAGGATCAAATGCAGCGCTCCATCCAAAACACCTACGACCGCGCGGGAAACGTCATTCGCAATGCCGATGGCGAAATTGCCCGCACCCGTGAAATCCTGGCCTCTATCGACGAGTTGGACAATGAGTTGGCGAAGATCGCTCATATCCGTGATATTGTCAAATCATTCCGTGGCCGGATCGAGAACCTAGATCACCGCATTGACCAGAGTTCTCGGCGCCGACGATGATGCCTTCCCATATACACTCCCTCCATATACTTCCTTCAAACCCACACCTGTCTTGAAGCGCTACGAAAGACCCTGCACGGTCGTGCGTTTTTGCACATCGCACTTTTACTCGACCACCGGATGGTCCAACCGATGCACACCTATATTTTCTCCACACACGTAGCCGAACAAGAACATACCGAAGCCGACAGAACAAAAAGAAACAAAAACTATATATCGAATGGTCCTCACGGGCCCTTTTTTCTTTTGAATGCGCGGCAGCCACCGTATTCATATATGTCATATTTCATTCAACTGGGTATCTGCTTTATAAAACAATTGGCAAAAGAGCCGTATGCCTCGCGGCACCATCGAGGCGAGACACCACTGTCAAGCAAGCGACCTCGGAAGGACTGCAGCATCGTCACGACTGCTTGAGCTGCGCCGATGGCGGCCATGACAACTCTGTTCTCACCCGGAACTGGAAATCCATGAGATTTGATGACTATCATGAAGGATTTTTAATGTGATATCAAGCGCATAAACATGACTCGTCTTTGTTCTTCTCCTTGATTTAATGCTTCTGCCATTTTCCCTTTGTTTCGATTCCCCTCTCTGCATGTTGCGTGTACATTGCCCTGGGTTTTCTTTTTCTGCGTTGATGTTGGCCCATGTCCCTCTCTGGGATGATTATAGCTTGGTTTATGGTGTTCTGCAATATAATTGGGAACAGTTCTAAACGATTGAATCGTACGTCGCATTGCATTGAGTCCTCCAAGGTCGGCATGAACGTTGAAATACCAGGCTCTGGATTTTGAACAAGCAGGTCGTCGATGTAGTTGCTGAAAGTATGTTGAGTCTACCCACGGGGTTTGAAATTTCTTCCGGTGATGAGGGTGGACACGGTTGTCCTCATTTGATGGGCACCCCTGGTCATTGTAGCTGAGGTGTCATTATAAAAGCCGACAAGACTGTGGTCAACGGGCTCTACCAGAGCGCCTTGATCATGCCTTGATATAGCAAAAAGAAGCGCACTGGCCTGTTGACGCGCGCATGCTGAAAGGCGACCGCACCGGTTTTGGGTTCTGCAAGACATGAGACAATGCGCAGGGTGCAAAATTCAATAAGAAGTGAGCCCACGCGTAGTGACTGGATTTTGTGGGTGCTATTCACGTCACTGGGACATCCGCTGCATCCAACATTGGCACATTCTCTTCACATAATTCGACTGCTTCTCCTTGCGACGCCGCGCACATATTCGCTTTTTGTGCATTCACGTCGCGTAGCAAGGCCAAGTCCTTTTCCTTGCGGCGCTCAGCGAGCTTTTTCGGGCGTTTCTCAGTCTGAGGAAATCGTTTTTCAGTCCCGCATGAGAGGCACCGGACGACCAGTACATCGGCCCATGGCTTCTTGCCGCCGCGACTTGCGTTTCTGGTTTCAGTCGAGCAAGTCACCCCCGGCGTCAGGATCGTATCACAGCGCTTGCACAGTGATCTTTTCAGTGTGACCGGCAGCCGAATCTGCGTCTTCATTGCCACCGCGCGTAGATGTGATACACATACCCTTGAGAGGTTTCTCAATGGCTCTTGAGTCTGCTGTTGATTCACAGGGCAGATCTTTTGTTGGGTATCTACTTTATGACCATTATCCCCTGAGTCAATATGACCAGCAACTGAGGTGTGTTCATTGTTGTGAACTTTGCCGTTCTGATCCTTGGCGAGTGTAGATTTGCCCTGGAAATATGCGGCGGCTTGGTGTAGGTAATCCAGCCTTGCTCGAATATGGCTCTGAGAGTTCTTGGAATTCTTGGCTTCCTTCTTTCCTTTGGCTTTTGCCATTCTCGAAAATTCGAAGATCATCAAGTGGATCTCAAGATCGTTTGCAACTTGCAAGTCGAGAAAAGCTTCCCATTGACGCTAATCCGAAAGCGGTGAGGCTGAACAAATCACGTGATGATCCCTTGGTGAGGTTCTTCGTCCTACCGCCTTGTGACTTCTTCCCCTGCACCTTTGTCTATCGAGACCTGCCACATTCCCGCGGTCCATACTCTTCTTCTCCTTACTACCTTTGTCTTCTTTTCACTTCAACCCCACGTCATCTCTCTTTCGCAATACTTTTACCTCTTCCCCTAAAACTCGCCTATTTACGTCGCCATGTCTCACGAGGAAGATCTTATCGACTACTCTGATGAGGAGCTTCAGACCACCACAGCACCGGCCACCACTGCTGCGCCTGCCGCCACCAACGGCGATGCCGACAAACAGGGTGACTTGACTGTAACCGGTGGCCGTCCCGACAAGAAGGGAAGCTACGTCGGTATCCACTCAACCGGTTTCCGCGACTTCCTGCTGAAGGGTGAACTTCTGCGCGCCATCACCGACTGCGGCTTCGAACATCCGTCGGAGGGTTAGTCTAACTCATTATTCCCACAAGCGTTCCTCCATTTGTCCAATCTCCAACGTCCGTCCATCCTTGCGGGAAGATTCTTCTGTCGGTATTTGGCAGTCAGTCGTGTTTCGAATCTGCAGATGACATGAGGATTATTGCTCCTGGAAAAGGACAATATCTCTTTACAATATGCATGCGTTTGGTCCTGTGGCGCTCTTGCGCTAAGCCTGAGCCTCCGTCCCCAACTCCCACGTACTTCGTGGATATTGGCGCATGCGGTTGAAGACTGTGATATCTATCACGTTTGTCTCCTTGTGAGGCGCACCTCATGTTGTCTGCAGAATATGATAGGATATCCACAAAAGCATGGCTTTTGCATGTGACATACAGTGATGGCGATTCGATCAAGCGGTAGAAGATGACCGCCCACGCATCGATTTGATGTTGTCGGGGGATGGACGGACATTGCGAGACGGATAATTTTTTGCTTCTTCTTTCGTCGAACCCAATCTAACATCGGCTCCGCCTTCCAACAGTCCAGCAAGTTTGCATTCCGAATTCCATTTTGAACGTCGATGTTCTTTGCCAGGCAAAGTCCGGTCTCGGTAAAACCGCGGTCTTCGTTCTCACCACCCTTCACCAATTGGAGCCCGTTCCTGGCGAGTGCCAGATCCTGGTCATGTGCCACACCCGTGAGCTCGCTTATCAGATCAAAAACGAGTACGCCCGTTTCTCGAAGTACTTGCCCGACGTTAAGACTGCAGTCTTCTACGGTGGTACTCCGATCCAGAAGGACGTCGAAATCCTGTCCAACAAGGAAACCCACCCCAACATTGTGGTGGCCACTCCCGGTCGTCTGAACGCGTTGGTTCGTGACAAGAAATTGTCCTTGCGCAACGTGAAGGCCTTTGTTCTCGATGAGTGTGACAAGATGCTCGACCAGATTGGTACGTGCATGCGAGATACGACTCGATTATCACTTCCCACTAACACCCTCACTCAGATATGCGCCGTGATGTCCAGGAAATCTTCCGTGCAACTCCCGCCGACAAGCAGGTCATGATGTTCAGTGCTACCCTCTCCCAGGAGATTCGTCCCATCTGCAAGAAGTTCATGCGCAACCCGCTGGAGGTCTATGTCGATGATGATACCAAGCTCACCCTCCACGGCTTGCAGCAGTACTACATCAAGCTCGACGAGAAGGAGAAGAACCGCAAGCTGAATGAGCTTTTGGACAACCTCGAATTCAACCAGGTCATCATCTTCGTCAAGAGCACCCAGCGTGCCAATGAGCTGGACAAGCTGTTGCGCGAGTGCAACTTCCCCAGTATCGCAGTTCACTCTGGTGTCAGCCAGGAGGAGCGGTAAGTTCATCCGAGTTTGTCATTGGCGGCAGCAAATGGCTGACCTCCATCTAGTATCAAGCGCTACAAGGAGTTTAAGGAGTTCAACAAGCGTATCTGTGTTGCCACCGATGTCTTCGGCCGTGGCATTGATATCGAGCGCATTAACCTCGCCATCAACTACGATCTCCCTGCCGATGCTGACTCTTACCTGCACCGCGTTGGTCGTGCCGGTCGTTTCGGTACCAAGGGTCTTTCTATCTCCTTCGTCAGCAACGAGGATGACGAGAAGGTTCTTAAGGAGATTGAGAAGCGCTTTGAGGTTGCCCTTCCGTAAGTTTCGCTCGATTCTAATTCATAATGCCCTCTAGCAAAAGGCTAACCCTGTTCACAGCGAGTACCCCGAGGCTGGTGTTGACTCCACCACCTACATGGCTTAGGCGTGTCTAGGTGAAAACTTTGTTGATTTGAAATTTCTTTTCCTCTTTTCAATTGTTATGGCGCACTAGCTCGGGTTTTGATATGTTTTTCTCCGCCGTTGGGCGCTGCCTCTGCCCTCCTGTGGTTTTGAAATGAGGCATAACCCTTCCATGTATTCGAAAACAGCAATGGAAGCAAGAATGGGTTAGCTCTGCACGACTGTTCAACCGTATCCTGGCTGTATCCTGGCTGTATCCTGGCGGGGACCTTGGGATCTCAATGTGGAGTTGCGATGTCATAGTTATCGATGTCTGCGAGACAGTCAAAGCCGAAGACAGCCAGATAGAAATATGCACCGCGCTGTGGTCGTGGTTTCAACCAGACGTCCGGAAGACCATGCCAAGCCGATCCGGCCGAGTGGATATAGACACCAGAATTCAATCTCCGATCATCTGTTTTACTTGTGGTTTGGCCATGACTGCCGGAGCCAGTCATCTATAACTCTAGGAGCCCAAGAATACACCCCCACCATGCAATGTGTCTACAAGCCGGATGTATGTAGTCGGTGGTTGCGATCCCAATCTGACTCGCAGAGCCTTCGTAGCAACTTGGAGCGTCCTTTACCCGATACTTGTGTCAGCGATGTGATTGCAACGCTGTTTGATTAGCAACGACTTTCAGTATCCGGAGTATCAGCTGGTCATAAACTTGGAAATTAAATTTTGCCCCTGGATGCTGTAGGAAAATCATGACGATTGTCAAGCCGAAAACAAGGAAATTTCAAAGGGCAAGTATCAAGATATGAAGATGGACCTTTAATAATCAAAAAAATCAAGATTTTCTACTCCAAAGTAGTCAGTGCTATATGTA